TTTAATTACTGCTTCAATTCGGCGTGGCATGGAGGTGATCAGTTTGTGGCACTGCTGAGGTGGTATGGTAGCCCAGGTTTCTTTGACAGTGGCCTTCAGCTCATCTGCATTTTTTGGTCTCTTGTTTCTCATTTTCCTCTTGACAATACCCTATAGATTCTCTATGGGGTTCAGGTCTGGTGAGTTTGCTGGCCAGTCAAGCACACCAACACCATGGTCACCATATTCTAATTTGTTGAGATAGTGAATTGGTGGGTTTTTGTTAAATGTGAGCCAAAATCATCACAATTAAAAGAACCAAAGACTTAAACTACTTCAGTCTGTGTGCATTTAATTTATTTAATACACGAGTTTCACAATTTGAGTTGAATTACTGAAATAAATGAACTTTTCCACAACATTCTAATTTATTGAGATGCACCTGTAGAAAGAGAGAAACAAGCTGAGAACAGGTAAAATAATAATAATAATAATAAAATAGTGAAGCCCACAGAGGCAATTTTGAGAACAAAGGTCACTGAAGTAGAGAAGTTGCTGAATGCCTCTAATTCTGCATTATTCTGTGCAGTGTGGCGCTGTTTCGGCTGCATGCTCAGCACAAGCGTGTGTGCGCTGAGCTGCAGGCGGAGGAAGGTCTGGGTGCTCATTTAGCCATGATCTTGAAAGAGCATGGGTGAGTTTTATATCTACAGTAATGTTATACGCAATACTTTCTGGATCTTGATGACTTGCATTTTTGTCTTGATATATTTGTTTTAATTGTGATTTTATTTATTTATGTATTTATTTTTCTCTAATTGCCTGATTCTCTGACAGTAACTTCTGGAAATATATGTAGTAGTTGTTTAGGTTGTCATCAAACAATGGACGAAATTTTACTTTTCATTTTGTAATTTCTAAATTGATCAAAAACTTGACATCAAAACTTAACAGTCAGTCTAATCACCAAACAGGCAAAAGTTATCTTCAAGAATGCAGTCTTGTCCACTGCTGCATCAATAGCTGATGCAATGGGAATATTACCACAGTGCCATACCACAAAGTGACTGTATGTTCATCATCCCATGAACATATCCACAGACTGATAGAGAACTATGAACTGACACCACCTGCAAACCAGGTTAAGAGATGTTAAGGTCAACAACAAGAAGTCAGAATTCTGTCTGAACTTGACTGAAGTTCAAATGGAGGCCCTGCTAAACTTTGTAGTACTATAGATAATCTCCCACATAAAATTATACAGCCTCCTTGTAGAAAGAGCTTTTGCATTAAAAATGGTCTCCGTTATCTATGACATAAGACCAGAACTCTAATCAAAGAGCCCCTATCAAAGGTCAAACCCAAAGCACAATTTACTAAGCTACCTTCAACATGGGATGCAATTACATTCCCCCCTAGTGGTTAATGGAGGAGATGAACGATATGTTGTCCATCTTGACCACATGACAGCATCGAATATCTGTAAGGAAGTAGGTCAAAGCCAGAAATACAGCACTCATCTTCAAATTATATGCCTTGCCCCTCCAGACTCCTTAGACTGGGTGGCCTTCAAAAAATCCAGCCCAACATCAGACTCAATAGCCTAGTGCAGGGGTGGCAAACGTCGGTCCTGGAGAGCCGCAGCCCTGCAGAGTTTTGCTTCAACCCTAATCAAACACCCCTGAACAAGCTAATCAAGGTCTGAACAGTTACTAGGAAGCTACAGGCAGGTGAGTTTTAATTAGGGTTGGAGCTGAACTCTGCAGGACTGCAGCTCTCCAGGACCGGAGTTTGCCACCCCTGGCCTAGTGGGTGTCACGGTTCATGGGTCTGTGTGCTCATTTCTGTGCCTGTGTGTGTGTGTGGGTGTTACCCGCTCCTTGTGCTCGTCAGTGTTGCCTAGTTACCCCGCACCTGACGAGCTGATCAGAACAGTCACAGGTGTAGCTTGTCTGCACTGCCTATATCTGGTTGGCATTTCTCTGGAGTGTTGTCAGATCGTTGTTGCTCATGTCCTGTCTGGTTCTCTGTCAGACCTTCTAGTTCCTGATTCTGATTCCCGCCTGGTTGCTGTTCTCGGTTTCCCTGGAGGGATTGCACTGCTTGGATTATTCTCTGCCTGAGCTGAGACTCTGCACTGCCGGGTTACTTGCACTTCTACTATTGATGTAGTTGGAGTTGTCTAATAAAGACAACCTTTCACTCGCAATTGGATCTTGTGTTTCTGTTTCATGACCGAACGATCTGACCATTATGGATCCAGCGAGTGCATCAGATTTAAGAGATGTTTTGGCTCACAGTAATTCATGCATGGATCGCCAGGAGGAACAGATGGCAGCCTCAAATTGCGCTGTTCAAGCCCTGGTCTCTCAGGTCTCGGAGCTGACCACCCAGCTACAATGTCTCCAGGCTGAGTTCGTCCAGCAACACTCTGCACCTAATCCACCTGTGTCTTCTATCTCAGATCAGGCCGTTTGTTTCACCGAACCCCACCTTCCGCCTCCAGCTTTTTACTCTAGTGGAGTCCCAACAATGCCACTCTCTTCTTGCCAAGTGTTCTCTGTATATCTCCCTTCAACAATCGTCGTTTCCTACGGAGGAATCGACAATAGCGTTTGTCATAACGCTGCTCTCTGGGAAACTACAGTTTGGGAGCAGAAGCTTCCTTGCTGCATGTCATTCTCAGATGAGATCAAAAACGTTTTTGATCAGGCGACTTCGGGCAGAGAGCCAGCTCGTTTTCTGGTGCAGTTACGGCAGGGAAATCTGAGCATTTTGGATTACTCCATTGAATTCCGCACCCTGGCGGCAGAGTGCCATTGGAATCTTGAAGCGCAGTGGAACATGTTTTTACATGGACTTTCTGATTATATCAAGGATGAGATCTACGCACTGGAGTTGCCTACAACGCTGGATGGCTTAATCTATCTGCCTATTCGGGTGGACACCAGATTGCAACAGAGATCAGCGAGCGCTCCGGCGGCCAATCTACTGAACCACCTTTCTGTCACCTCCTCCGACGCGGACGTTTCCTTCTCCGAACTGGAACCCATGCAGATGGGCAGATCCTGTCTTTCCCTGGAGGAGAAGTGTAGTCGGCGAAATGAGGGTCTCTGCCTGTATTGCGGAGCTGCTGGTCACATCGCAGCACAGTGTCCCGTAAAAGCCAGAACCCGTCAGTAGGTAAATGGTTACTGACGGGTGGGGTCACATTGGCTAAATCCTCTCTTACGGCTACCCTCCTTCCTGTCAAGTTGCAGTGGTCCTCAGCCACTTACTGTCAGGCATTAATTGACTCTGACTTCCGTACATTAATTGACAGTCACCACTGATAAGCTACCACTAAATATTGTAGAAACTTAATTTGCTGTAAAGTTGCTTTGCCAATGATTTGTATCATGAAAAGCACTGTACAAATAAACTTGACTCTGGTGCTGAGGGTAATTTTTTTATTTTTTTTTTTTAGACTCCGATCATGCTTTCAGACTTCAACTCCCTGTGGTTGCTCTCTCCCAGCCCATTGCTGTCCATGCTCTCAATGGTCTATCTCTTCCTTCCATCACTCACACTACAGGTCCAGTAAGACTCATCACTTCTGGTAATCACACGGAGATCATTCATTTTCTTTTAACTGACACGCCTCTTACTCCAGTAGTCCTTGGGCATCCCTGGCTTGTGCTTCATAACCCTTATATAAATTGGAGTAATAATTATATTCTCTCATGCTGCTTGTTTGTTGTCTGCATGTTCTGTGTTTCAGGATGAGCATATGGACCTGTCAAACATGCCCAGTGAGTACCTCGACCTGAAGAAAGTGTTCAGTAAGTCTCGAGCTGCTGCTCTACCTCCGCATCGTCCCTATGACTGTGCAATAGATTTATTACCAGGTACGTCTCTGCCTTGGGGCAAACTTTATTCGCTTTCCGCCCCGGAAAGGGAGGCCATGGAGAAATATATTTCTGATTCTCTAGCAGCCAAGATCATTCGCCCTTTGCGGGTGGGGGCAGGGTTCTTTTCCGTGAAAAAGAAAGATGAGTCTCTTCATCCCTGTATCGACTATCGAGGGCTGAACAACATCATGGTGAAGAATACATATCCTTTGCCGTTGATGTCTTCTGCCTTTGAACGTCTGCAGGGGGCATCTTTTTTCACGAAATTGGACCTCCACAACACTTATCATTTGGTGCGTATAAGGGAGGGGGATGAATGGAAGACTGCTTTTAATACCCCCAGGGGGCTCTTTGAATATTGCGTTCTTCCTTTTGGGCTTTCCAACACTCCCGCAATCTTCCAGGCACTCGTCAATGACGTGTTGAGAGATATGCTAGATCAGTTAATTTGTCTACCTGGATGACGTACTGATATTTTCTCACTCTCTCCAGGAACATGTTCAGCACATCAGGCGGGTGCCTTAGAGGCTGTTAGAGAATGGTCTTTATGTCAAGGTCGGAGAAATGCACTTTCCATGCACCGTCTGTTCCCTTTTTGGGTTACATCGTGTCGGTCAAGGGGATGCGCATGGATCCGCATAAGATTCAGGCTGAGGTTGATTGGCCAACTCCAGATTCCCGCAAGTCCCTGCAGGTGTTTCTGGGCTTTGCCAATTTTTACCCCGTTTTATTTACAATTTCAGCCAGTTAGCTGCCCCTTTGACTGCCTTAACCTCCACCAAAACTCCATTCAGATGGTACAGCTCAGCTGAAGCTGTGTTTGCCAAACTGAAGAGCTGCTTTGTTTCAGCTCCCATCCTTATTGCCCCTGATCCCTCGCGGCAGTTTGTGGTGGAGGTTGACAAGTTAGAGGTGGGGGTTGGTGCCATCCTATCCCAGCGTTCTTCCTCGGACAGTAAGATGCATGCTTGCGTGTATTTTTCTCACCGTTTGTCTCCCGCTGAACGCAACTATGATATTGGTAATCGAGAGCTACTGGCAGTCAAGCTTGCCTTGGAGGAATGTAACACAAATCATGTGTCCCCCCCCCGTTATAAAACGTGGGCAGGGAGGAACACACAAAGTGACATGCTGATTGCTCTCGCTCATAACTCTTTTAAATAAAATGATTACGCTACTCTTTTGGACTAATTTCATTCATGCTTCAGTACACGGTTACGCAGGTGCATTTAAAAGCAGCTTGAGTTACTGAAGGGGAACAAACAGAACCGCTGTTTGTTCAGAAGTGTTTTGTGTTACACAGACCAGTAAATGATTCAGTCAGGCTAAAAGTACAGTCATTTGCAAAGTTAAATGCATTTAATGCTTTTTAAACAAATCTGTTGATTTTAAAGGGTCAACTCACTCTTTAAGACAGACTTGCTGCCACCTACTAGTGGTTGTAGTTTAATATTTTAAAGTAGCTCATTTCATTTTTGCAATTTAATATTTCTACAATTAAATGCGATTTATTTAAGCAAAAGGATTTTGTTGATAGTGATTTTCATTTGATTGTTAATAGCCTACATCTTTTTATTTGGATTTAATTCATTGATTAAATCTAACAATCTGACATAAGAGGACACAGATATGACAATGTTTTATAATACTAATACATCTCTGGCTTTTTTGCTCAGTGTTATTTCAGGGTTTTGATCTCTCAACTGAGAGAACACATTCGGTTTATTGTATTATAATGACTATTTAAATTTTACATCTAAACTTTGACTAGGCTAGACATGTTGAATACTTAATTTGTACTATATATGAACCTCAAAGCATATTTTATTGTGTTACTCCGTAATGATGTTCTAGTTGAGGGCATTTGTGGTGTATAGGGCCCAAACATGACCCCAGAGCCCTAAGTCATGCCCTGGCTCTAGACCAAGCAGCAAAGACTTTGGTAAATAAAGATAATAATTAAAGTGTATTTCACCGAAGAAAAAATTCTTGCTTTGTCAGTGGGCAAATGTTTGCCCATGGTGTGAGTAGCTCCATAGGAATCCATGGTTACAATTCTAAATCTTCTCTGCGGTGACATTTTGTGCTGAACATTAGTGTTTGATGAATAGGACTTTCATACTGTGCAATAAAACACTATCAATAGATGCAAATTATTCATAGTGAATCTCACGTTGGTGTGAGTTGAATAAAAATGTGACGTATAGATTGTCTCTCTGCAGGCTTATGAAGGTGATGTCGGCCCATTTATGAGTGTCAAGCTATTCATCACCAACCATTCCAGGGGAGGCAAAACTGGATTTCCAAATCACGTTTTCTCAACCTAGTTGTTAACCGGTATAGTTTTCACAATTTTATATTTGCTTTAACAGCTCAATAGATTAACTTGACTTTTCTCCTTGTTTTCTTGAATGCATAGATTGTGGTTTCAGTTTGTGGGGTGGCAGAGAGCGCACCTGTATGGGTGACCAAGCCAAATATTGACCTAAAACTCTGCATGTATGATCGGCTTTATCAGGACAACATCAAAGTTCAAAGCAGGTGAATTGCACTATTTATATTTTTATCAAGACAATATCCACGTCAGCCACTGATCTCTGTATATCACCAGATTGCTGATGGAATTCTAAACTGCCAGAAGGAGGTGAAGTCAGTGAGCAGCCATTTTCTGTAGGTGCCCAACTGCCGACTGAAAGCTAAATCCATGACTTAAAAAGACTTGTATTGCTGCCATCAGTCGGATGACATTCATTTTCAAGACAATGTCTGTAAAGTAATGGTATCTGCAGACGTCTGTAACATTCATCGTCAGTTCATGCAGGATAAGCAATACGGAAATCACCCAGAGTTTTTTGTGCATACTCCGTATTTACACACTGCCAATACCAGTGATTGAACTAACACAAAACATGTTTCTAATCTACAAATTAAGTATATGTCTGGGATTATTAACAGAAATATACAACAAAGTATAGTAATACAAACCTCTAATACTATTACACTATAAAGGCATATATCTATGTTTAGAATGAATAGTTTGAAATTTGCAGTACATTTGTTGAATTCATTTAGCTCAAACAGTACAGCAAGACAAGTCACGAAGTAGCTAGGAAATTGGTATGGTTTCCAGGGAATGCACTTTTTAATAAACCTGACACTCATAATAATCAGGAAAATCCTGATTCTAAATAAAGAACCAATTACATGTAGGAAGTTTGTATTTTTAAGCTGGAAAAGTGCTGTTCTAAAAATATTGGAAATGTGACTTTGGATTTTGCCTTTCAATTTGGCCAGTCTTTTATATAAAGTTAATAACCTGGAAATTGCAATCCAGGTCTTGAGGAAATACAAAAGCTGAGTACCACTGGCATAGCAATAAATACGTCTTGTTACCTTCTGTAACTTTGGTTCTCTGTAATTAAGGCTGTGTGCACAGGTCATTGTCTAACCATGCATTGGAAGACACAGGTGTGTTTAATTTTGGTTTTGTAACTTGCATGTCAGTAATAGCAGGTGTATTTCCTATTTTTATTTCTGACCTACAGTATGACACTATCTGTTCCAGTGTATGTGAGCGGAGTGTAGCAGCAATAATTTCTCCTCCGCACTCCAAGCATTCAATAGTCACTCCGCTCCGGTTCCGGGTTCAGCATTTTCCCGCTCCACTGATCAGTATGATGAAATTTGCGGCTGAAGTGTTTCAGTATGTTTTGAAATATCACCACGTTCTGTTCAGAACTTATATTAAACGAAAAACAAATACACTATACTAGAAGAATAGTTTTAACATGGTTTACTTGAACACTACAATTAGTCGTCTATATTAAATTACTTTTTAACTCGCTTGTCTGTGCAGCGTCTATAGTATGGTGAAGCTGAGGGTTGTAGTTACTTCAGAAACGGAGCAAATATGTTGTAACTTTTCCGTTTTTAAGCTGATAAATAACAGGACAGCATTGACAATAATTCTCGGCACTCCTGAATGTTTCTATTTGCACATGATCTGTATATTATGTGCGAACTTGTGTGTTGTGTGCGCGGGTGCAGCAGTGTAGCAGCACATTAGTTTAGAGCAGAGATTAATTACCTTTACAATAAACTGTTTATCGAGTATCCACATGCTATAGACCAGGGGTGCCCAACCCTGCTCCTGGCGATCGACTGTCCTGCAAAGTTTAGCTCCAACTCTAATCAAACACACCTGCCTTTAATTTTTAAGTGATCCTGAATACCCTAATTAGTTGCTTCAGGTGTGTTTGATTAGGGTTGGAGCTGAACTTTGCAGGACAGTCGATCGCCAGGAGCAGGGTTGGGCACCCCTGCTATAAACAAACATGCTTGAGATATAACCTCCCGCACCAGGCCCGGTTCTACGGGGGTGCTAGAGGGTGCTAAGCACCCTCAAAAGAAATCAAAAGCACCCTCAGTTAAAGCTGTATTAATGGCATTTTATTGCAGATTTGGCAAATTATCCAGTGCATTATGGTTTGCGCTCTGGAGATCGATTTCTATTTCAACGTGTTTTTGCAGCGTTGAGCAATGTAGCCAATCACAGACATATCTGTTGATTTCTTGAATCAGAGGCATTTAAGAGGAATTGGAAGATGAATTCATGATGTACTCGCTCATTATACATTTTGCTAATTTTGAACACAGAAAAAGTTACATAGTGCTGCTTTAAGAAGTACCCTCAGTGATTTGATTCTGCAGCTGGGCCTGTCCCGCACTCGTCCATCGGCGTCATTATAACCTTCAGCTTCTTTCTGATTTGAGTGATCCACATATCTTTCACTGTCAGGCTAGCTAATGATGTTTAATGCATGAATTCTTGATCAAATGCAGTTATATTATGGGCTGTTGGCATTAATTGTGCTCCTGATGGAGACTTCCCAAAAACGGAG